TAGATACATAGATACATAGATAAATAAAGTACATTGACATGACTCAGAAAAGCAGCTTTTCAAAGATACTATTATGTATTGAGATGCACCTGTGTTTACAATTTTTTTCATTAACCCAACAATATAATGTACAGTTTAGAAGAATAGTAAATTGATGTGGGGATGATGAAGAGTGTGCACTTGTCTGTCCTCAACAATGACTGTGTCTGTGGTTAATTAGATTAGCACAGATAAGAGACTGAGAGTGTAGCACAGTAATATCACTGAACAACATAACAGATGGGTGTTAGCGTTTCATCAGAGGCTCTGTAACGTTCACAGTCTGATATTTACTTTGTCTTTTCTCCTTGGATTAGGAGACGTGAAGCCAGGAAAAACAGTCGGATAATTGCGCATATTCCTGTCCTCTTGATTTATTTCAGAATACAATGAACAGCACTATAAATACCTTGCTCAGAAAAAAATCAATAGAAAAACAACAGTATTATTATTAGATTACAAGCATCAGACAGACAGTAAATGAGCCTAGTGGTGCCTCTAACCCCCTGCAGAGCAATAACAACCAATCCTGCTGCAAACAGACTTACTGTAACTTTGCTCCAGAGCTAATAGTAATAAAAAAGACAAAGGGCAACTGGACTTGAAATGCAGCTTTAAAGGTTGCAGCCGCAGAGTGCAGCTTGTGATGAAAATTAAAAACGTAGATCATATTGACCTCCTTCTAAATCCAGAGTGGAAATTTAAATTCTCCTCTAGTTATATAAAGCCCTAAAAAAATCAAGTTCCATTATATATCACATACCTGAGTGTTTTATGACCTAACCGATCACTTCACTCCCAATCTGCAGGCTTACTATTGGCTCCTTGAATTTCTAAACGTAGAACTGGAGGCAGATCATTCAGTTTTCAGTGTTCCAGTTTTAGTCCATTAAGGGAGTCAACCTGTCTACTTTTAAGACTAAGGTTAAATCTTTACTTTGATAAACTTTTTACTTTGAGTAGCTCAGGTTATCCTTGGCTGTGTTATAGACTTAGACAGATTTTATTTGTAATTTTGTTTACACAAGTATAAAACAAAAATAAATTTCGTTTGGAACAGCTCTCTGGACAGTTTTTTTTTTAAAGTGCAGTAAAAATAGTAAAAATGACTGTAAATATACAGTTCTAACATTTTTTTTATATATATAAAGATAAATTATAATAAATATAATAAAATACAATCCAATAACCCATCTTACAAAACATTCAGCAGTCTAATGGCAGCGGGGAAGAAAATGTTTCGTTGTGTTGTTATAGTTGTGCTGCTATAGGCTTAGGCTGCTGGAGGACATGAAGACCGCTCTTCATCAGTCTACTATATTCTACTTCTGTTCTACAAGCTTGTATTTTTTGTTAATCAAACTTTAAACTTCATGTTCTCTTTACTTTTTTCTTTTCATAGTAGCTACACCAGGCCATTTGCTGTGTAATGCAACTAGAAATCATAATTTTGGGTCCAAACTGAATTGTTTTCCAATGGTAACAAAAGGAATGCACTTAGTGTTGTCAAGCTATTAAAACAAGATCCAGGAGCTCTAAGTTCACTGAACAGGCCAAGAGGAATACAATAAGCAATGTTGGGTGATTAAGTAAACGAGTTACATAAGACCTTTTTGTCTAGGAGGTTTATTCCAGCATCCTGCCAAACAAGTGGCCTTATTCCTCCTCTATTTTTTATCAAGGAAGATTCATGAGGGTATCACTGTCAGCAGGATGAAATTTTAATTAGAGAAGCCTGTTAACAGACACCCAAGTGGCACCTAAGCTTCTCGAGGGCAAAGGCTTTGCAGACATGTGTGCAGATGGCGAGGGACATGTGCAGGAAATGGCAGGCAACAGCAGGATTTTATTCAGTAAACTCTGATATGTCTCTGATAATCTAAGATAATTAAGCTTAGAATCAATAAAGAAAACACATCTTATTGGCTGAATATTTACAGTCTTGTCTGTGCACAGCAGATTGTGGAATAGACTTTGTATCTTTGGTATGATGCTTCTCTGACAACAGACCTTTGACTCCCTTTACTCTCCAGGTGGACTAATATGAACAGAATACACCTTAGTATGAGTTAAAAAAATCAAAGCTAACATTTCCTTGGAATTTTTTTTCAAACTTCCATCAAATGGACAAGGGATTAGAAATAAGAGTGTGGCTGAAGGGGGGAAATTTACTTGAAGGCGTTCAAGGCAGGTGTTGATCAGAGGGGTTAGAGGGGTAATAACATGAGCTCTGTTGACACTGGGTTTCTTTGCATGCTCACCCCACCGGTTAATATTGCGGCATCCCAAATATTCCGTTACATGCCATCAAAGCATAAATACGCAGCTACAGAGAAACGGCAGGAATTCTACAAAAGAAAGCCACTGTAATCCCAGTCCACTGAAATTCAAAACATCTGTTTAGTCACTGCAGAGTCTGGCCATTTTGGATTGAGTCATTTGAATTATCAGTTAATTTAGATTACTCTGGTGATTTCATTTCTTTAAAAACTAGTGTACAAATTATGCTGGCATACCTGATAGATTAGGTTGTTATAATTCAAGTTGATTTATTTGAGGAAGCCAGTTGGTATAAAGCTTTAGGAACAGGATAACAAATTGAGCTAATATAAAAATGTGGATTAAAATGCAAAACTGCTCAGATCAAAAATAGTTTCAAACTGTTACCAAACTGCAAATTAGAGAACTAAAGTTAAACCCAAGAGATTCATTATTTATAGCATGTGGTCATGTAGACTATTCCATAACTGATGTTCCAATGTTCATTCAAAAATAACCGAGCTGGTTTAATGCAGCAGTACATTTCTTTTTTTTTCTTTTTTTTTTGTATATTTAGAAAAAAAAAAGCCTTTTCTCCATTCTGGCAAAGC